CAGTTAGCATTCTGCTACTGTTGGCAACTATGCCAAATCCTTGACTCAAGGCTTCCCTGTAGTAGGACAGCCAGCAGATGTGCTTCCTGGCTTTTGTTTAGTATATATTTCCAAAAAGTTTGCAGGTGGTAATCAGTCAGGATAAATGTGTCTTTCTGATGATAAAGATCTAGTTGTCTAAATGCCATTCACTTCAAGGAAAACCAGACCTCTTAAGGAGATGAGCTTTGTCACTTTGTTAAATTGTCAGCACTTCAGGCTCTGAGTAAGCACACCAGTATGCAATACCAAGGTGAGTTAACTTGGGTGGAGACAGCCACTTTGACTAAAAGACTACCATTAAAATGTACTTAGGACAAATTGACATCTGTCCGTGGAGTTTGACTTGCCTACCTCGAGAGCAGAGTCTTCCTGATTTATGGTGGGTTTGTGAGGGTTTTTCCTGTTTTGCTTATATGGCATGGCTCCCCACTTACATGCTTAATTCTTCCATATTTTGCTAGGTCACAGCATTTGGAGGAGGTAGCAGCTAGCCTAAGAGAGCGAATCAAACATCTTGATGATATGGTCCACTGCCAACAGAAGAAAGTCAAGCACATGGTTGAAGAGGTGAGATCTAGTAAAACTATTCTGAGTCTTTTGGAAACACTGATTCTTTTAGTACATAATCCAGAGGGCTCTGTTCTGTGTGCGATTTCCTTATGCCACCTCAGTTACAAACACAATGGAAAATGAGTTAAGCATCTGGAGCTAGTGAAGCAGAAAGACTAGGTGAAAGCAGTTTAATCCAGTGGCTGTGGGATATATACTGTGATCTTTAAGCTGACACTAATTCTGGAACTCTTCATGGTAGTCCAGGAAATACAGCATACAACTTGCAACTTCATTTGAAGCATTCAGAGAGTAACTGCAAAAGCCATGCAGACTAGCATTAAAGGTCTTCTTCCTGTACGGAAGTGGAAGGCAAAACTGCCTTTTATTTTTTTATGTGATTTCTCACAGAAATTGTCAGGCAAACACAGTTTTCCACCAGTCATCTTTTTACTCTGGTCTTGGGACATCATCTTAGCTGTAAAATTTTAAGCAGCTTTCTGCTGGAAAGCTGCTTTAAGTTACAGGCTACCTATGTGCCAAGAATCTGTTTAGCAGGCAGAAGGCTGTGATTGCAAACATTTCTGTTTCTCCAAGTGGATGAAAGAATGACATGGGAAATAGGTAAATTAAGTTTAAAATAGAGCTTTACAAAGCAGACTGACAGCACTGTTACACTGAGCCTTGCTATTGCACAGGAGACAGGTGTTCATGAAATACCTTTTATTTGTATTTGGACATCACACATTCACAAAATCAGATGTTTGGAAACCATTCTAACTTAAGGCATTCTTTCTACATTCACAATATGCTATTATAGGATTTCTAATTAGACGTGGAGTTTTTTTCATTTTTATCAAGGTGATATTTTTTATATACATATACCCCCCCCATATATATATATATACTTATATCTGGTTTGTTTTATAAGATTCTGATGTCATCTTGCCGCATGATCAGATGTGTGATACTAAGTGTCTTTGACACAGAAGGATGCAAAAGTATCTATCTCTGCATTAAAGTTCTTCTGTCATGTCATTGTCATAGAAGACTGGTATAAATTCTTGAGTTTTAGTTTCTAGTTCAGCTTGTCATTTTCACTATTTTCAAGCATCATAGCAGGTGATCTAAAACTGAGCTAACAATCTTTATACCATGGTATTCCATTAAGGAAAACCTCTCCAATCTAATAATCCAGTCCATCTAACTAATGTTTTATGGGAACAATTATTTAATCTGTTTTGCATCTCTGTAAGCCAACCATCATATTATGAGCCTTTTTTGTTCTAACCAAAAGTTCTAAAGGACTTGTCACTTTGTGATACATGTGGCAACCCAGAGGATTCTAGTAATATATAAGAGGATGGTGGCCTAAATTTTGCCCTTTATTACTAAATGCATTTTAAACTGCTCGATGTAACTTGACCTCTAGTGGGCTGCATTGGTATAACAAATACTTTCAGTTCCATGGAGTGTTTTGGCAAAAACATGCGTAAATCTTGAGCCAATGATTATTATTCCGCAAGTATTAGGTTTAATAGGTGAGTTTAGCTTGCTGATTCCTTGTAATGTATCTCTGCTGGTGCCTTCATATACACAGAAAGCCCTTTCAGATCTTTTGGTTATCCTATTTAACAAGTAGAATGTTAGGTGACCAACTCACTACTTAGCTGTCAAATATGTCTACTTTTAATTGATGTCTGACTACCTGCTTTTCAAAATCAATTAAATTTCTGTACAAATCCTTGACTGCCATGTAGCTATAGGTAATACATTTTTCCTCTCTCCTGTAGTCCTTGTGTGTTCTAGTTTTTTTCTTTTAGTTTCCTTGAGAACTGCATGAACTCCTGTAGCTACATCTGTATTTTCACCAGCTAACTACAGACTCCTGTAACAGAGGTCTGATCAGGTCAGATGGTACTAAATACATTAGGCACTTAAATGCCTTTTTTTTTTTTTTTTTAATTTTCTGCTATCTGTGGTTTCTGTTTGTACTGTGTTTGAGGAAATATCTGTGCTATAGTTGGCATGCACTGTTTTAAACTGAGCTCTTTTAATTAAATGCCTAAAAATAGCGGCTTTAATAGTACAGAGAAGAGTAGCTGCCCACCATGGGGGAAGATAAAAAGTATTGCAGATGTGTATGCCCTGAGTTATCCACACATGTGGTATTTTTCATTATTTTGTGCTCTTCTCTATGTAAATATTAGAAAAGTATTTTTAGTCTCACTTTAAGCAGCACTTACTAACTATGCCATAGAAGCTGAGAAACTTGCAATGAAAATGCTTCTTAAAAGGTAGGCTGTTGAAAAGGAACACTGTTCTGGGGTTAAGTTAAAAACTAGTGACCAGCAGCACTAAACATACTTTCTAGACTAAATAAGGAAGATTTTGGGATTGCACTACTATGTAAGTCCCAGAAATGTGTTCATCAGGGTATATGTGAATGCCTGTCCTCTCTACGTTAAATTTAACCGAATGCAGAAGGTAATGGCTAGGAATATGTAGAAAAGTGTCATGAAAACCTGTCATATTACTCATTACTGCAATACTTTCATGGCTGGTATCTGTAAAATAACATTCCATCTTAGGATTTATGAGATTATTATAATGATCAAAAACTTGCATTTGAATAGTATAATTGAGAAAGAAAGAATGATCAAAGCAGCTAGAAAGCCTGCTTTCTGAAACAGTTTCTCTGTTGCATGAGAATAGACTGAGAACAGGCTAGCCTGGGAAACTCAAAGAGGAGTGGAAAGAAAGTAGTCAAAATTAGCGTCAGTGCTTTTGTTAGAAGCTGAAACAAAGCTACTGTATTAACTATGTGAGAATGATGGCTAAGCTGATGCTTGCTTGATTGACTACAGGATGAGCTTTATTTAGTATTAATCTTGGTATATCCGGACACAGATCTGAAGTATAAATGAGAAGTTTATTCTTTCAGTGTAAACCACAATACGTTTATGCTGTTATCATCTCTAATTTAGACAAAAAGCAGCTGTAGAAATGAACATCATTGCAAAAGGGTATTGAACAAACAAGATATACTGCTTCAAACTCAAATGGAGAACTGTCAAAATTGAACAAGTACTGAGATGAATCTGCTGGCTGAAAAATTACAAAATAGGTTACTCTTCCGGCCTTTTTAGGGAAGGATGATGGATGGTTTGCAAGTGACAGATGCCGGGCATTCTGTAAAAGAACAGCAAGCAGTCAGGAGGAAGTGAAAGAGGCACTTTATAGTGGAGTTTTGTGATGCAGTAGGCAGCTCTGACCCCTCCAGTGCTGTTTTGATGGCATTTTAAAATGTATTAGGAGGCTGTGGTCAGTCCTAATCCAGGCATGTATGAAAGGGGGTGCTGGCAGAGAAGCACCAAATGTCAGAGGCCATGGAGGAAAAGAATATTAAAGCCTTCCTTTTCACAGGACCCATCTTGTTGGTACTGAATGCAGTAGATATGTGACCTGTGGAATTGAGCCCAGGCAGAGAAGGACACACACAGTTCAGTGTGCTTAAACTCCTTAGTGAAGAAATAATTTGCTTCTAATTTTTTTTCTCTGAAAATAAATCCTTCCATCTCAGGCGTTAATAGAACCTTTTTCAACTTGACCTAGTCAGACCAGTCATAAATTAAATAGGAGTACGGAAAATAACTTTCAGAAGAAAATAAATGGAAGAAATCAAATGGAAGTTTGCTGGAATTGGTGACGTTCAACATCTCTGTGTGTTAGATCCCACACGCACCCGTTTTTCAGCCTCGTAGGGATTCTCTGCTGGGAGAGCCAAGGTCGCAGCCCATTAGAGCACCAGCTAAGCAGAAAGTTATCCTGCGTTAGCCTTAAAGCCTCATGCTCTTGTTAGAGAGAGACCACAGATGATGTAAGGCGGACAGATTTATCCCTGTGTTGAACTTGTTTGTTAAATAAATCTGTTTGTTCCCAGCTTAGTGCAGTACATTTCACATGAAGTGCTGGCAGTTGAAAGTGCAGGACCTGCATTTGGCAGGTGTGTAGAAACCCAGCCTTTTTGTCATGCTATTTGTACACAACAGGCTTTCAAAAAAAGAGTGAGAAGATACAGATGGCCAGAGTAGGTCACCCAGAGCTTAGTGGTGAAATCAATGAATGTTAAAATGGTAGACTCAATTAGCCTATTTTTTATTTTTTTTTAGCCTTTCCCTTTGTAGCCATCTTCAAGTATGACTGAGCAGAGAGGGACTTTCAAAGACAATTCAGGAAAAAGCCAGTTCGATCAGACTTTGATCAGAAGAATTTGCAGGGAGACTCATAACGTGAAAGGTGGAATCATGCAGACTTCAGGCCCTTCCACTAAGGAGTTTCCAATGCAGAGACAGAATTGGGCAGACAGATGCAGGCACAGAAGCACTACAGGAGGGCATGGGAAGCTGCTACCACATTGTTTCTTTCAGGGTTGAAACTGCTGTTGTTCTGTGAGCGGTGTGAAAGCTTGTCTTTTAAGTTATCTGTTCGATATGGTCAATCTGTTTATGCTGTCCATGCCTCTGTAGGAGATGGGAGAGAGTTTAGTGTAACAAAAAGCTGAAAATCTTCAAACGAAATACAAAACATGGATTTTAAATCAGTGACAAAGTATTTCCTGGCTTGATCTCAATTTCAAACCTGGAGAGGTTTAAGAGAGCTTTAGTTTTGAGATTTGTGCAATTGACATGGAAGTGTATTGAAGTTTCATGGCACAATAAGCTTATTTTATATGTAATATTGTTTCATTATTGAGAAACAAGAGAGGGAAGGAAATAAGCATTTACCTTTTGTAAGCAAGACGAGTGGGTTGATGCAGATACAGGCAGCTGTTCTGAAGGGGACTGAGAAGAGAAAAGGATATTTGATTCCATGCCAAGACGTTATCTACAGAACTCAGATTTCACATGAAATTCCCCTAACTACTGAATTGAACTGTCTCTAGGTCATGGCCCATGAACTGTTCTCCGGCTTTAGTCTCAGATTCGTTGGATAATAAATGGTGACCAAACACTAAG